GTGGTGATCAGACACCGCCAGCAGAAGCTGTGACAGGCACGGCAGAACTTTGGCGTCGGGAAACTCCTCGAACAAATGCTGCAGGACAGGGTGACGTGTGTGCGATGCCCTCTGGGTGAGACCGCCATGTTGGACCTGTATCGACCTCTTCCGTGTTTGTGGGTCATGGGGCAAGAGGGGAGTTCCGTTACACTAGGGGGATTGGGTTCGTGTCAAAGAGCACGCTCTCAATTCAGCGCAAGTGACAGACGTTAACACATTATACACATAGCCACTATATTTCATCCTTACCACATCGTATCCACTGTGGTAGTCTCCATTTAAACACCATAACATCATAAACACACACACACACACACACATTAACGTACCATCCCCAATAAAATTTTGACACGGCCTACTCAACGAGAGCAACGCCCACTGTTTACAGATCGAACATGCCCAGCTTGAACAAACTTAAATACGCCTGAAATGTAAATACTGTAGTATGACCTATTTTTTTGCATTAATTTTTTAAAAATACCTTCTATTTTGTGACACACCCCCTAGACACTCACACAGTACACTCTCCAAGCAGAGGTTTGGGTTTTGGTCTATTTTTGAGACGCATTCACACACAGACGCATACATACACATGCACATACACAGTAACAAGTAAATATAGTAAATAAACTGTATCGAAAATATTCAAGAACAGAAGCAATCCGACACAAATGGAAGCGCACAAATTTATCTTAATTAACAAGACACCAAACGTATCGTAGGTGTAAAAGGTTTAACGTTCTCCGAACCGCTAATTGTTGAAATAATGAATGAGAAAAATAACCCAGACTGTTAATAGCCTTCCTTGCTAAAATATTATTGAAAGCTACAGATGTGCGATTTTCTACTCTACAACATGTGACAGGGCAAATATATCAACTATACACCGACGATTATTAACTAGATGATTTGCTTGTCTACAAGGCCATTCAATATTTCACACTTAAGTACCCCTCGCTTTCGAATCTTGTTTCAATCCGTCATTACGCAAATGATCTCCCAAGTCACCCATAATCCTACTTTCCAAGCAGACTGCAAATATGAAACCAGGTACATGTACTATGAACCCTTAAATAATACCTCGTGCAACAGTCTAGGCTCGAAATACAGGGTGTATATGCATCTTAGTGCACGTAAAATTGGAGCTAGGTATTTTTTAGGCCCGGTATTTCTGAAGGCTACCCGGACCTAACCTGCACTGGTCCATGTGCTGGGTTTATACTACTGTAGTACATATACAATTATGCTTTTTATTTGCTGCTATTGTCCGGCACAACCTAAAGCGACAATAGCAATAGTAAAAAAGTTTTGAACATTTTATGATGATCGATATCCATACTGAGTGGTATATAATAAATTTGTCAGGTGCAATGCAGGTATGTAGGGGATAAGATTTTGAGCCCTGAACATATCAGATCATATGAGACCAATCAATCACAGATAATTTTCTTCCGAGACTCCTCAAGCTATAGTCTAATAGCAGTTTGCTACAATAAATTGCACCAGGAATTAATGTCAAACCCCTATGGCAAGAAAACTTCATCCATGAAACTACGTGTCTTTTGTACTGCGTTGGGATGCTTGTAGGGCATTCCCCTCACTGTGAATGATGGTTAAATTGTTTTGATTGTGATGTTGTGCTTCTTGGTGTCGGTGACAACTAAGCGCCGCCCTTCGGGCTGGTAGGCAACTGCAGACGGCGCCTCCAGTCCGTTTTCTTGGGTCACAAGTCGACGGACTGCTTCGCCTTCTTGGTCGAACAAGGCCACACAGCCACCGCCGGAGAAAGCAACGACGTCACCAAGCGGAGTCACGCAGATACCTCTGGGGTCTTGGTACCGCTCGTCCTGTTTGGGGCAGTCGAACTTGGAGCGGAAGGATCCGTCTGGACCGAAACGTTTGATGCAACATAAGAAGCCGTCTGTGACGAGTATGTCGCCGTTCGGGGCAAGAGCGACGCCTAGCGGAATGTGCAGGTGACAGTCCCCTCGTTGGGCGGACCCGATCTCCATGGTAACGTTCCCGTCCTTGTCGTGGACTGTGACGTGATGATTCTCCATATCGGCGACGAAGGTGCGTTCAGAGTTGTCAACGGCTATACCACACGGTATGCTGACCACCCCGGCGCCAAAGCCTCTGATGTACTCTCCCAAGGACGAGAACACGTTCACCACTTTCTGTTTCGAGTCGGTGACGTAAATCTCGCCACTCACGGGATTTATCGCGAGACCTCGTGGGTCTGTGTCCTTGCCTTTGACCTTGGTGGAAAACTTTCTGCGAAACTTTCCTTCGCTGTCGAAGACTTGGACCCTCTTGTTCCGTCTGTCGATTATAAACATCTCTCCGTCTTTAGAGCACGCCACGCCGCTAGGCTCGTTGAACTGTCCGTTACGTGAGCCCTTTTCACCAAAACTGCACCAACTCCTCTACCTCAACCTTTACTTCTTTGGAGTGTCCTTGGGTGGTGAGGCGTCTTCCTCCTTTCTTCCTCGTTTCTTCCCCCTAGGAGAAGACGTCGCCACTCCGGGTGTGGACGTCTTCTTGCTCACAGACGCAGCTGCCGGACTAGAGCGAGCTTTTCACCTCTGACTTCTTCTTTTCCTTGGTGTCATCCTCGCTTGATTTTTTGGTACTACCTTTGGGTTTGGGCTTAGGTGAATGGCGGACACCTGGGGTTAGGGTGCGACCACTTGTATGGACCTCACCCTCTTCTTTATCTTGCTCCTTGACCCACAACTTGCTCCTTGAATGAGGCGACAGGGCACTTGATCTACTTGCACCAGCACTGCCTTCGGTCCTTACAGTCGTAGCGGTCTTGCTGGAACGCCACCTTGCGGTTCCTTCTCTCCCCAAGTCGTCGAACATGGACGTGGTTTGGGACCATCCCGTGGCTCCTGAGCTCAGTTCTCCCCTGCCCATGGGTCGGTATCGCCCTGAATCTCGTTCCCTCATCTCAACATCGCCCCCAATGTTGACGACGAGATCTCCAAGGAGGTCTTCGCTCTCATACTCTGACGGAATGAACCTCATGTCGACTTGGTAGGAGTGGGAAGTCGACTGTATTGTCTCCTGCGCTTGGCCCACCTTGTCTGACAGGTGCCCCATGGATTCGTACAGCCGCTCTCGTCCCCGGGCTGAGTACTCTCCATCCACCATCCTCCATCCCTCCGCCACCGCCCCAATCGAAGTTTGAATTTCCCGCCTTTCTTGCTCCAGGCCCAACCGTTCGTGGCCCACCCTGCCCTCCAGCTCTTGCATGAGCTCTGCCTCTTTCCTTTGTATGCCATCGATGGCCTTCCGTGCCGCCAGTTTGATCCCGTTTTCTATCCGTTCCCTACAGTCGTCAACTTGGCGGATGGTAGAATCAATCCCACACTGAAGCCTATGTAATTCCTGTACACGTTCTTTGCTCTGAACAAGCAGGGACCTGGCGTTCTCTGTCACAGTACCACTGCCAGTCAGCCCGCCCATCTGATGGCCACTGTGCCATGCCCCCACACACTGAACGCAGATGGCTTCCACACAAGTCTGACAGAAAATCGTCACCTTTTCTCCTCTGTGGACCGAGCAAAACTTCTCTGACTCCCTCTGTAAGTCGCGGTCGAATTTTTCGAGCAGGTCGTCCACGAAAAAGTGAGCGCTGAGGCCGCGAACTCCCTCCGGCGGTAGGCGCACGATCACCCCGCAAATAGGGCAGGACAGGTCCGATTTTCGGTCGGCACATTTGACGAGACATCGCCAGCAGAAGGAATGGGCACACGGAAGGATTTTAAGCGGACCAGAGGCGTCGAAACAGCCACTACACGACAGAGCCGCCATGTTGATCGTTTTCTGTCTGGGCGAAGTTCATCAGCACATTTTCGGGGATAAACCATTCGATAACCTAGCACTAGAGGGTATGCATTTTAACAGGACGAGTCGACAAATCGCCTATTAAAACGACTACTATCAACCATATACCGCAACTTTTCAGTTTAATTTTTTACATAACGTGTATAAGTTGATGTCTTTGGCTCTTCGTGTAATTAACATCCAGCGTCAAAGTAGGATAACGGTTTGTCCCCGAAAGAGTGTATACCATGTAAAACGCCCATCACATATTTTTGTGATAACGTATGGCCTCGACCGTTTACACGGGGGACGGATCGTATACAGAAAGTTGGGATGTTGAACAGTACGAAAACCCTGTAGTATTTTGGTTTTAATAGTGTCACGATGGAAAGAATCTAACTTTTATAACAGACATAATATAATGCATATAATAGATGCTCCTTGGATATAACAATGAGCGAGGGCAGCTATATAATGACCTTTTAAAGACAAAACATTGACATTTCGCAGATATTGAATCCTCATGCATTATGCGCAAAAATTAACTTGATCGTTTTTCATACCCCAAAGAATATAACGTTAATGTTGTATCACTTTTCTCCTTGCACACGCACAAAGAAAATGTAATATTTATTTCTCAGGACACACGCAATATCATTTTTTAAAATTTAAATATATTATACCACTGATTGTTTATTTCATTCACTGATTTCAGTTTGTAATTTGTAAGTTTTGTTGGATACAACCAGTACAAATACATTGTATCTGAGTGTCGACATTTGTTGACCCAGCACCCCTACTACGTGAATGGTACATTCCGTTGTAAGTCAAAGGTTAAAGGTCGCTGTGCACTTCGCTGCACCTGTTTCTGTAAACAAACAGACTCCTCGATCAAAGTCGTATATTTTTTCCTTTTAGAGCAGTGACAGCTATACCCCTCGTATGGAAATGGGAGCCGAAAACGTAGGGAAGGGGTGGCAAAGATGTGATGCAAAGGAGACCACGTCTAGCGGTGTATTTAGACGTTAAAACAAGGACAACAACAACAACAAAATGGCGGATCCTGAAAGTGACTTACTGCGTCAGGTTGTTGACGACCATCTGACGTGCGCCATATGTCTGCAAACCTTCGACTCCGAGTTGAGAAAACCGAAAAACCTGCCGGTATGTCGGCATATCTTCTGTCTGGAGTGTTTAAAGAAGTATGTGGAGCACAAGCAGGTCCGCATGTTCGAGTGTCCGCATTGTCGGAGGCAGGTGAAATTGTCGCTGAAAGGCGTAGAAGGACTGCCAGACGATCGGACTGTTCTAAGTTTGACCGATAAAGTAGTATTAAACAAGGGAGGCGCCAAGCCAAAGAGCAAGGACGAAGTAAAAAACAACAAGGTGAGTGGGGATTTCAATTTACAAAAGGACAAGCCTTTTCAAGTTATTATATTCCTTGTTCTTGCCAAAATTCTGTGACCACTTGTACAAAAGGACCACCTGGCCAACATGACTTTTCCTATTGACACAGGCATTAAGAATCCTGACCACCTGTCTACATAGACCAAATTTGATGGTACCCTGACCACTCAGAGTGGTCTTCTTGGCCAGTTTTGACTGTAACTCTTGTACATGTATGCTTTTGCTGTCATCTGCTTCAATTCTTTCTAGAGAGCAACTTGCACACAACTTGCACATATTTCATGACACAACACCTTGACAGTAAAAGTTTTCACTTTATAGGATAGTATTGCTCCACGAGGGGTTGACCACGACACCTGTCCAAAGCACCAGGGAGAAGAACTGCGTATGTACTGTAACAGATGTGCTGTGCCTGTGTGTACAGAGTGTGTGGAGAATGAACACGATGGACACAGCACTTCTGGTATGTATGTGTTGAGATAGAGACTTTGATCTGGTCGGTGTGCCCATTCTACTGGTACAGATCTTGATGGGAGTCTTTTTCAAGAGATCTCTTAATGTATTAGAGTGGTTTGCCATTTACAAATCTTAAAATTCAATAGCCTGTGTGTCAGCATTTTTCCCAAGTAATCCGCTAAAAATTCTAGTCAGTCTATTGATCTAAAGTGACATGAATTAAAGTTGAAAAGTTCTTTTAAGTGAATATTGTAATATTCAACTGCAGAATTTCCTTTCATGATTTCTTTTGTTATTTAACTGATGTCTTGTTGAATGTGTCATTTCTCCAGGTATAAAGAAAATTGCAGAGATGTCCAAGGAGAATCTGAACCCTCTTCTTGGTGAAGGCAAGTGGAAGATGGAAGAACTAAGGGGACATCTGAAGGGTCTACAGTTTGCTGGACAACGTCTACAGGAGAGCAAAGAAGCTGCAACAACTCACGTCAAGGAGTTGGGAAGAACACTTAAGTCTGAGATCGATGCAATAGTCGCAAACATTTTGGGTGAAATTGAAGCTCGCAATGAAGGCAACCTCCATGTAATAATGAAAGATAAAGAGGATGCTTCCAGAAAATTAGAGGAACTCAATAAGATTTGTTCAGATGTAGACACAGAACTTAAGACTAGCACTCCTTCAAGGATTGTAGAGAAAGAGCAAGAAATGGGTGACCAGTTGAAGCAAGTTGTGTCACAAGATGTCCCTGTACACGAGTCTGTGATCACGTTTGAATTTAAGGCAAACAGGACAAAATTAAGCGATCTTTCATTTGGGGAAGTAAGAGAAAATGTTGAGATTATAGATAGAAAGTCATTTACTAACCGTGTTCTGTCACAGATAGGTGGGGAGGGTTGCATGCTGCACCCTGGTGGTGTGACCACTTGGGAAGATGAGATCTATATGGTAGACAGGGGGAACAAACAGATACAGGTGTTTGATCGGCATGGTAACAAGAGGCGTAGTTTTCCTACAGATGTCTTTGAGAACGGGTCCGAGCCGCAAGACATCTGCGTCATGTTTTTCGAGAATGAAATCCAAGTTTTTGTCACCGATAAGTGCGAACAGGGGCTGCGAATCTTTGACCAGTATGGCAAATACATCGACAAGCTCAGCAATGTTTGTACGGGACCCATGGGTCTTACTGTGTGTAAACAACAGGGGACACTTGTTGTTGTTGACCAGGACGACAACTGTGTCCGCATGTGGCCAGCACTGAACTCTTGCAGCCCTCCGGAAAACTATCACTTCTCTTTCAACCGACCTTTTGGCATCACGACAAACATGAAAGGCAAAATCTTCCTCTCGGATTGTCAGAATCACTGCATAAAAGTTCTCAGCCCAAAAGGAGAGCACCTCCACACTTTTGGATCAGAAGGGGGTGGGGAGGGGCAGTTACGGTATCCCTTAGGTGTTCAGTGCGACGATCAAGGTCAGATTTTGGTCGCTGACTCGGGAAACAGACGAGTAGAGGTTTTCAGCGAGGATGGGGAGTTCAGATGTCATGCTGTGACGGCGGAGGATGGTTTGGGTTGTCCCGTCGGGGTGGCATTGTTACCGCAGGGTGACGTGTTGGTGGTGACGGATAACGAAAGCCACAAACTTCTTTTTGTAAGATACAGTTTGTGAAATTGTGAGACTGCAGTTTCACTGATGGAAGTTATATTTGAAACTGTTCCATCTAAAAAGAGGAATCTACATCAGGCATATTTCCTTGTGCCCTTCCCTGGTTTACAAAAGAGAAGTCAAACCCTTCAGACATAGTTTTAGACATACATATAGCTATAGTTTTAGTCAACTATTTTTCATTATGTAGATCCTAGTTATTGTATAATCTGTTTCGATATTGTTGTATGTTTCTGATTTGCAAATGGCCTTCGGGCACAAATTTGCAATAAACTTCTCACTAATATATTTGATTTCAACTTGTCTGCATTCAGTGCAGTAACAAACTGGAAGAAAAATATTCTGAAGTATACATTTGGGTGTACTTGCTGTTATCTTAATATATGCTTGCTTGAAGCCAAACTGGCAAAGAACCATCCAAGAGATGCAATTGAGAAAGCAAAACTTTTCAGTAGATACAAGTTAGTAACTACAAAGTAATCTGCCTAGATATCCTGATGGTAGATAGAGTCATGTACATGACTTTGTAAGATATTGTATGTGTACATTAATGTAAGTACATGTATGATGGAATGTCAAAGCTTAATAATACCATAAAATTACAAACGAGCCAAGTGTGTGTAATAAAAAGCCATTTATTCTGGTATTCTTCCGACACGTACAACATATAATCTTAATTGATAATCATATGGCTGAATGCTAAAACCTCCTTAAACTTCTACATTAAGTGACCAAGGTCTACAATGCCCCACTAAAATGTCTACCCTTCATTCTCGACTTGCAAATCTTTATGGGAATACTTCAACATATTTACGCCACAAATTTGGTAAAATTATAATACCGAATGATACACTTGATGAATAGCATAATTTTTTATAGTATTTACACATAAAAGCCGGATCAACATCTATCAAAATGCTTTGTAAAATGGCACAATTGGATCTCTTAAAAAAAGGTGCAAGTGATGATATAGCACGTATGAATATTATATGTAATATACATAACAGTAAAATATTTACTGTACAATAATAGTGCTACTCAACATAAAAATGGGCATTCTCTTCTGGCGGCTTCTAACTTTAGTTCTCAAAATAGGTCCAATGTCCTCAAGATTGAAAATTGAGTATCATATACATGTAGGAATTAAAGAAAACTGCGAACATTTAATATATGTTGCACACATTTGTAGCTGCTGCAATGTATTTTGATCTGTCTTTGACTTATATTTTGCAAGTTGACTGTAATATGTCAGCCAATTATACATGTACATACATTGTAAGAGGCTTGCAGGTTTCGCTACACATTTTATGGCGTTAGAATTCCATGGAGACACCACCATGCTTGTTTCTGATACAGGTACATACTTAGTATGTAAGAAGCAACTTCATTGGTCAACACTTTCTTACCCTTACTTGTAGTGCTAAGAAGCAATTTCATTGGTCAATATCTCTTTGCCATTTTCAAGTTGAAACATAATTGGGGAGGGGGGGCAGCATACTGTATGTTTGACAGTTTTTTTATGAGATATGGTGGGATACAAAAATGATCAATATTTTGTTGAGAGATGGCAGTCATTGTTACTCAAGCCTTTACAACTGTCAAATGTTTCTGAGTTTTCAGTGCACTCTTTCTGAATTTCTGTATAACGTTACCCACTGATGCACATCTTGGTCATGTACGTAATCCAATTGTTCCATTTGTTCCATTTGTTCCAATTGTTCCAAATGTATCCAAATTCTTCTTGCAAAGATACAGTCAGTTTTCGTACCCTGTTCCGTATAATACGCTGCAGTCTTGCAAAAAGAAATGCTTTTAATAACTATTTTCTTTGAAATCCTGTACATCGGAAACCGACTCAAGCAACACATTTCCCAACTTGCTGTAAAGTCAGATGTGTTAACTCCCAAAAAATATTGCAAGATTGACTGATATGAACAAAAAAATACACAGAATAAATCTCTAAGTTAAAATGTACATAAAACTTCTATGTTTACTTACTGATATTATGCAGAAGCAATTATAGTCCTTTAAAATCCGTAAGTGCAAATTCTATAAAATGTAAACATTTTCAGGCCATTCTGTTGCCATGACATGGAGAAAAAGACGTTTTTCACAATTCCCCTCAGAAAATCGAGCAGCCTCGAAGTGTAAGATATTCTACTTATAAGTTGAATTAATTTTGCGCTAACAGTGATTCTGATATATGCAGGTTTGCAATCGGTGTAGTTCTAGACTCATTTCTGGAAGGAAAATTGTCATGCTGGATTATTGGTGCTAAAAAGCTACTGAAATTATGACACTACAAGATCAGTAAAGTCATAAAAAGTAAAATTACATGTAACATTACCTCATCATGTCAATTCTTTGATCTAGGCTTTTTATTTTTACAAAATTATGCAAGATGGCAACCAATACAAGTACAAATGTACAGGGCTGCATAGCAAAAAATAATAGTCTGGATGAGGAAATCTATCTGATACTGACACTGAATGCCATTATTAACATACACTTTTTTTTGTCATCATTTCATACTTGAAGCATTTGAAATATGTAGCCCAAAAACAAGCTATGTTGAGGCATCTCTTCAGTTTTTTGGAACCAGTCTCCTATACAAAACAACCGTTCTCCGTCAGCGACATTGCATTTTTGTCAAAGGTCTTAGTATGCTACAATGTATGGCATAGGATTGATTCAACCTACTACATTAAAAAGGGAACAAAAAATTGACTTGACAAAATTCAGTTTTGCCACCCAGAAATTGCAATCAGCGTCTTTAGCTTTCAAGAGGAGAGCACTAGATCTACATGTAATAATGCAAAATTCAGTTATGCTTAATGGTGAATCCCTCTAAACAATTGAAAGAACCAGATATTGTGACCCCTTTAAAAGAGTACTTTAGGATTGTTATTTTTGGAAATATTAAAAACAAAGGAAAATGATTTCTGTGTTAAAAAGACTAACAATGTTCTCAGAACTGTAAAAAATGAAATTGTGGGCTGCAGTGTCATGTACTAGTATATGCTTGTACAATGTAAGTAAACTGCAGTGTGTGCCACACATGCAAGGGGGCAGTGTTCTGCCTTTGAAAATAAGTTATTTGCATGCACGATTCCAAGGGCTAATAGTATGTACACATACTGCGATTGGTCCGTTGTTTCCTCAAAACACAAATGGACAAAAAATGCTTTGTAAGCTTTTCGTAGCTTATGTGAGGGAAAATTCAAGCCGAAGCACACACTGAATTACCCCCATTCAAAGACATTCTATATGATATCCTTGCCTCATTCTTGTTTGCTTAGTAGTGTGTAGGCTAACCACATGGATTGTACATGACAAACAAAAAACAAAAATTGTTTATTGAAACAGAACTCTAGCCTCCTCTTCGTGCAAGTGACAAGCGAAAGCTTGTGTGTTATTGTGGCAAATCTAAGGCAAAATCAACCTTCTTGCCAATGTAGGCAACGATTTTACCCTCACTCGAAATGAGAACTCTTGATCATCTCCATGTAGCTTTACCTTCCAACACTGAACGATGCCTGAAAATAAACCCTTGAAACTGCAACTGTTGTTGATTTCTCTCATTGCATCAGCTGTCACAAGTTGTATTCTCATGACTTGTTTTTTTAAGAGAGTTTCTTGATTTCACTTCCTTTTCAGCCTGAGTGAGGTTAAACCGTCTTGCTTTGACAGAATATTATGCTCTGGCTTTTTTTGTTTTCTAGGCTATATTTTATAGTTTACTAAGTAGTGTATACTGATGATTCTGTTATGGTACATTGCAGGGTTTACTAGTTGTAAACTCTAGGCGTTGTTTCCCTTTTTTTGTTGTATTTTTGTTCTCTGTATGTGATGTTTTGTTCCCTTTTCATTATGGTGAAGAGCAAAGCAGCACTACTGTAAACTTTTTCATCTCAGAGTCTACAACCAATCAAGAACCTTCTTCTTCTTCCCAATGGAAAATTGATGCTCAAACCATAGCCACAAGTACCCAGAAAATAAATACAGTTACCATACTGTTTATCGTAAAAACTGCCCTTTGCCTCTCTTACTCTCTCTTCTTCAACTTCATTCTCATTCATTCTTCTACGTCTCTTCTTTCCTTTCCTTCTTCCATGAAGTTCTGACGTACCCTGGAGACCCTTATGCCACCATCTGTCTGTAGGGACCCTGCATTTTGAGGAACTGGGAAACAGGAAAAAGTATTAAATTAAATATAAAGGCAATCACAAAAAAGAAGGAGACTAAGTGTAGTACGTGATGCAACAACAGTGTTCTAGCTAGTGTGAATTTTTTTCTGTCGTCTAAATTTTGTTTGTCATGTTGAGGGACGAATGTGACGATTCTTTGGGTAAAGGGGCATGCTCCCCCAAGAAATTGTGAAATCTTGACCCTCTAAAATGCTATTTCTTGCTTTTGAGTGACCCTATACACAGAACATTACATTCAAATTTGGTATATGTAACCTGTTTACTTGTGTCACAGTTTACACAACTTTTCCTAACTTTTGTAATAGTCAGAAAGGAATAACAACAACAACAAAACAAGTCCTACCTGGATGACGAGGGATGGCCCACCACTGACTATCTCTGGAGGCAGCTGACTGAGGGGACAGTTCTCGATACTCATGATCTGGAGGTTGCCACACAGGGCAAGCTCGAAGGGCAGGCTGTGCAGGTTGGTGTTGTCATTCAGGTACAGCTGCTCCAGATTCTCCAAGGTCCCTGAGTTCACAGGAATTCAAACAGGATCAGTGGTAGAAATCCTTTTTTTTCAGTGTTATGCAATATTGCAGAAAAATACAATGTCATGCAAAAATCAATGCTTGACATTGTACATATTACATAACATTACATACCAGCAGTTAACACCAATTTTTTTGAAAGCTTTTAAACAACATTTAATCAAACCACTGCATTGACAGATGAAAAACGGTAACAACTCTGAAGAGAAGGGACTTCCTTCAACTGTTGGGGCCAAAATATGAGCATTCTGGAGTTGATTCAGGGCCTGAAATGTTTTTTTTTTTCAAATCAGAATATAAAAAAAATGAAGCGGGCGAATCTGTGAACCAAGAAATTAAATTGGACTTTCCTACAATTGTTATACCAGGTGTTATACATTCAACTTGTTTATTTATCCAGGACAATGCAGCCAAGTTGCAATACAATGCAGTTGTTGAGCAATGAAGTTGTTATAATTTCTATTACCATCAGATGACATTGACCAACCAGAAGCCCCCATTAGATATTGATTATGAGGCTGTGACATGATTGGCCAGTCAAAAAGTGGTGCCACTGGTTTGTACCATTTTACATTACAGGGGGGAAATTTTCCTTAGTGTTGGTTGGTTCCTACACTACAGCACTTCGGCAGAAAGTACTGCACCTGCGCAAAATCCGTAATGCGTAGCACTTCCAAATCGGCAGTAACATCTCGTATAAGATCATATACATTGTACGCACATATAACGTTAACGTTTTCCATCTGTAATTTAGAAAATATTGTTTTGGAAAAGATATCATCTGCAACAAGCAAAATTCTAATGCATCGATGACCTAAAATCCAACGAAACTTTAAATTCTAAAGCCTAATAGTATTTTTTTTTACTTTTGGCAACCGGCTGTTTCATACTCTCAAAGTCTAATCTATACATTATATACATATCTATACAGGTATCTTCAAAAAGTCACTTTACACCTTCTGTCTATTGAAATAGGAACTTTTGTCCTGCCAACGTACAAATAAACATGAAACTTTGAACCGTCTGTAACAATGGGGCCATCTTAGGAATTAACCTTACTGGTGGACAACTTGCCGAGTCAGTTGGTTATATCAGTTCCAGTGTTTGCCTATACATGTAGACCTTTGATGGGGTGAAAATAACTGTTACATAACTGCTATTGCGCAATAGCTTGCATTTAAGTTCACCTGGCATAATGGATAACAAAAACAGGCCTTCCATTGTCTAGGTGATGGGTGAAAATGAAACAACAGCTGCTGGTGTATTTAGCTGATTACTCAGTTATAAAAGACTGAAATGCTGAAATTGAGCATACATTTTTTTGTACAATCATGTATACACAGCAATTTCAGGGGTGGGGTCATTGCAAAAAGCATGTTAGGAAACAAATTTACCATCATTGCAACAACCTACTCTGTATATCCCTTAAAGATAATTTAAAAGTATCCTTTCAAATCTACTTTTCGGCTGGATTTCATTTTCCATATCTGTCTGTTAGTGTTACACATATATGTAGTAGCAGAATGGGTAAGACAAAAGTTGTGCAGTTTTCACAGCCATTATCATTCTAGGAAATTTTGGCGACTTTTAATTGATTAAAAAAAACCCTTTTACTGTTACAGTACTATAGATGAAAGGCTCTAAGTTATAAAATTCAGTGTCTGAGTAGAAACTAATTGAAGCATATTTTGTAGGAGACTTTTCCTTAGGATTAGCTTTAAACAAGAGTAATTTTTAGTTTTGTTACATATGAATAGTTGATGTGATGTGAGTATATATAAAAACAGCCAACTGCGCATGCCTGTGAAGGTGGTGTGATGCACTGAAAGTCAATGGTTGACCAATACTTTGAAAATTAATTGCCCGATAACACGAGCTACCATTGGATTAGATACATGTACATTATAGAATACTACACAGTATATTCCGTATTACGTATCATCCCGAGTCCCGACCCGCGGATACACTGTGTTATATCTTATTTACATAACGTGTCACGCCCCCTTGAGCAAACATACATTTCACTGCAAAATTTGTAAAAATTTGGTGTCCCTAAACAAAATTGTGACATCATTCTAATGACTGAAATTGTTCAGAACCTACGTGAAACGCATTTGAATCATTCTATGAAACATTTAGTAGCCCATGTGATAACTAAATAAAACCCTGTGTGAAATGGCTAGTTATCACACGGGCCAGAATATCCATATTGAAAATTAGTTACTGGTGTTGCAACCCAGGTATAAAATATAATTTAGAATTACAATAATTACAATGTAGGTTGATTATATATGGTAGTACGTGCAGAAAGCTACCACGATAATGGCCATGGGTAATACTATACAAATCTTGGAGGTGAAAATTAACAGTGCAAAAGACTTTAAACTTTACTTTATGATAAGGTGGATCATGCATCAAACACATGATCAGCGAATGCACCCACCCTTTCACATGCATGATCGCTTCATTAACATGCATTCCACAGGTACAGGTAAGACCACGGCGACCTTATTAATTGCCTCAGTTGTTGAATTTGCAAAGGAAAAGCTGACACCTTACAATAACATTAAAGGTCGCAGTGACCTTGTAAAGACAAGGTCAACAACTTATTTGTGTCGCGTAACCGGTAAACCGCCTTTAGCCTGGTCCAGTTTTATACACAGTGAGTACAAGCTGCATACAGGTAAGACTGGACTGCAAGGTTTGAACCACTCACACCAGGAAGGAAGAACATCAATGGGTGTTGTTCTTTTCCATCGAATGTGGCTCCAGTTATCCAAGGGATTTGAACTAAAGGTACCATTTGTATCCCCTACATTGTAGCTATGTTGTTTGCGTATACATTGTACATGTGAATCGGTAGTAAGGGAAAAAGAGTTCAAGTTTCGAGTTACCAAGTTCATACGCCAAAAAGCAACTGGATATGATTTTGGAAACGGTCAGACATTAAAGCTAGTATCCATTAGTTTTCGTCAGTGACTGAGAGACCAGAGGAGAAATACAGGTTTATAAGTACAAATACCAACTTGAAGTTTATACTTAGTCTGACTAATAAATGTACTTTAAGCTAGATATTAAGGGGTTTTTTTGTCTTTTTTCTTCTTGAATACTTTGAGTTTAAGGCCAAACTGCCTGCTTCATTTTTTTTTCTGATTTGAAAAAAACAACAACTTCAAAATCATCTCCAAAATGCTCATATTTTGGCCCAAACAGTTTAAGGAAAAGGCTAAGAACAGGCACAGGAAGGTGCAGGACACATGAAGAAGTGGGGTCTTGTCCCAGACGGACAAACTGCATGTGACTGTGGGCAGGAGCAGACTATGAGACATCTCCTTGTCTGCCCCCTCCTGCTTGAACTCTGCACCAAGGAGGACCTGGAAGCCATGACCCCCAGTGGAAGGGCATGCGCGGAGTACTGGAGGGGAAGAGTGTAGCAGTGAACGGTGACCCGAGAAGAAGAAGTTTAAGGAAGTCTCTTCTCTTCAGAGTTGTGACTGTCACACAGCTTTTTTATCTATTAAATGATGCAGCTGAGTGGTTTGATTAAAAGTTGTAATTCACTGTTTGAATTACAAACATAACTCACTGTTTGAATTAGGAACTAGCCTGGTATGTTTACTTCAAGGCCCTTATCGTTACGGTAGCATTTGGGACTATCAACATATAGTATGCCTACATGTACTTTTATAAGTCTGTTATTTTGATTTAATTTTTTTTGCCTTGTTGCTACAAAAAAATCTGAGAACCAACAAATCAAATTGGTGTGGCCTGGGTATCAATGAAAATGAATACTGAGCAATGTCCAAATCTACATTCATTTGTAGAAAACCACTTCTGGATCCCTATGTCTGATTTTAGAACTGTTAATAGTGTTACAGAAGTGACTTAAAAAAACAACTACAGATAAGTAAGATCTTTTTGGCACCTTTTTATTGTGTTAAATTTTGCACATTTCTTACACTTTGTTCACTATAAAAATTTAATGCTTTTGAAAAAATTATCTTCTTTTTCACGTAAGTTACAGTTACAAGTTGTTAATTTAAAACCTTTATTATAAGTTTACAGAATGAGAGGAAAAAAAAGACAATACAAATGTACAATGTATGATCATAACAGAAAGTAAATTCTCTTGGCAGTAAACATGTAGCTTGCACTTGAAGAAAAGATGTATCTAAAATATATCAAAATAGTCTTTATACAATTTTATTTATGAAAGAATACTTTTACTATCTTCTGACAGAGATAAGATTAAATAATTTTGCTTATTACACAATAAATTAGCCTTGATGAAGACAGCTGACTATACAATATAGTTGCCAAGACTAGGAAAGTCTTAGACTACGTAGATAATGTAACAAGTGCTTTTGAAAAATGCTGTCGTTTGCCGGCGTGATGTTTTTGCACAACAAAATCGAAAAGAACTTTACCTTGAAACAACACATAAATAGGTTTAGCACCAACAGGACTTCCTGAGTCAGAATCAAACTGACAGTCGTGTATACCCATTGAATAGCTGAGGAAATATGAAACATAACTGTTACGGTTACTATTAACAAAAGATGATAATTATGGTAAAGCTAGGTAATAGATGGAGGAAAGCAGCTTCACTTACAGAAACCATACAATAGCCAGGAAAAAGTACTTTTGAACCATCAGTGTTCAATCATTCTCAGAAGTCTTTGTACAACACTGTCCTGAGGAACTTCAGTCCTTTTCTGGTCCTTCAGTTTGTCTGCGATGTTCTTGAGAAGTCTCGAGACAAGTCCGGACATCTTACGCGATCTTGTAGTGAGGTTTGACGGCGCCCAGTACTTTCCGAGGAAGGCCTTGCCTTTATTGTACAGACCGGTCAAGATTCCATCTTGAGTGGTGGTTCTGTTGATGTCATCCACAACTTCTGCACTTGCACTCGATAAGGGAGACTTCTCAATCTGGGACTGCATCTGTCCTTGAGTCTTTCTCTCCATCCACCTTTGGAGTTGAGTTCGGAGAAGAGCAGTTTTACTGTTACCAGATTTCTGCTGCCTGTCTCTTTTTTCAAAAATAGTAAGTCTTCCTGTGTCCACGTTTTCCAGGTCTTTTTGTTCTTTGGAAGAAAATGCCTTCCAGAATGTTCCCTTGCTGTTCTCTGAGCTTTTGGCAGGAACCCTGTACTGTACGGATGGCCACAAGCTCTCGAAAAGGCTGACATCCCTTCGCAAGCCCGTGGAGCTCCGTTGGCACTCGGCCGCCCACGGCGGGTAGCAGTTGTAACCCATCGACGCGGCGGGGCCACTGGTTCTCCCCGCGTTGCACGACAAGCTGGCGCACGCAAGAAGCGCGAGAAGATGTCCTAGGAGCTTCATCTTGTGAATGTTCTTTGGTTATAGCGTTCTGTCAGTCTTTAAATAAGTAAGACAGAGATCCTGCCAGCAATCAGTCCTCGAAGCAGACAGGTCAAGGAAACGGGTTTCCTGCAGTCTCAGATTCTACGTGCAGGCAAGCACCTCCCCAGGAGGTCCTCCTTGACAAGAAATCTTCAGCCTTCCTTTTGCAATGACAGAGACAGGGGCAGAGCGTTCTTGCGATGTCAGACTGTTTCGACCAATAGAACAAAGACCTTGGTTCCTTCTGGAAAGATCGTACTGTTCAACCATTTCCAAGGAAAATTGCTGTTGTCATTTCTAATCGGCGTTGAGAAAGCAAAAGGCCGGTTTCCCACCGACTTCCTCTAAATACACCTGTGGCCTATCTCTGCAAATCAACAGGGGCGTCAACGACCAATCTGGCACAGCTGCAGAGTCATATCTGGACCTCCCACTTTCTGATATTATGCAAAACATGTCAATCACTCTGTTAATAACCCAACCAACGGGGATTTGCCCGGTCAATACATGTACCTTTAGACATTGTACCCACCACCTGCACTCCACACTTCAACTGAGGCCTGGGAAAAAAATTGTTGTGTTTCCTGTTCCAGTCCTGGAGATTTAGGGTTGGTAGGTAGGGATTACCTTTTTTCTTTTAGACTTTGTTTTCAAAATCTATTCAGTTGCTTGATTAACAATCTTTCTCCTTGTGTATCATTTATTATCTAACCTTCACCAACCTATCTGCATCTTATTTTTTTCTACTGCATTCTTTTCAGAACAGTCAAGAGAGATGGTATTGATATGAAATATTATGATAAATACATTGCTTGCCAATTTTCATTGCTCTTATGAGGGATGAGGCTAATGCTTTATGATATTGTTTCAGTCCTTGGCTTTTTTTCAATCACACAGGAGATACATTCTAGCTACGAATTTATAATAAAATACATGAATCTATGAATCTATTCATAATTAACCTTCTCCCTGTTGCTTAACCTCATAATCTACATAATATCATACAAATCTGTATACAAATCTGGAACCAAAGGGCTACCTTAGCAGGCTAAAGGTTACTACATTTGTACGTTGTAACCTTTCACAATGAAGCCAATTAAAGGGGTGAGAGGGTTAAAGCCATACACGTGGGTACGTTGGTATTTCTGACCACAGCGGTAACCTCTGGGCACACCCACTCCATGAGTGACCTTGTCAAACAAACCAACCATGGCATTTTTCAGAGGATGGCAATCTGCCAAAAAGGATGTGTGTTACAGTGTACATGCGTACAATGTTCATTTGTACAATGTAAAATCATGCACAGGGCTCAAAATACCGACCAATATGCAAGCACATATAAAAATGTTCAGATTGCAAATAAAAAGGTAACAACGTTTGCAGGCTTGTAAAATGCAGGATTCAATGCTGAAACACTGGCCGGCGCATTCCAAAAAACTTTTGTAGTTTTGTACATCAAACTTATCCCCAAAAGTCATCAGCTTTGAGAGATTTGACCTTAGTTTATAGCCTACAAACCTGTTTTTCTTTCTCAAGGTCGTTATGTATGCTTGTATGCTACAATGCAGAAAACCTTGCAGCTACATGACAATTGTCATGATTGTATATACATGTACATGAATCAGTAAACTTCTGCCAAATTATAACAAAATATCAAAAGCCTTGAATCATGACATTGCATTCAATTTGGTATTTCCTACACAATATTAACAACGTAACTGCTTACATGTACATGTATCTATTCCAAGTGTGTTGTAACAAAACAAAGTATCACAATTCATTATCAATTTGGTATTTCCTACACAATATTAAACATGACTGTTTATCTATTTCCAAGCATGATGTAACAAAACAAAGTATCACAATTCATGATCTGTTTATTCACAGAAACGGTGTGTCACATTTGTGGGTTATTATACGATTCTGTGATGCTGTAGAGTTTTCATGACATACATTTGTAATGCCATGATATGACAGACCCAACTGACAAGGACATACAGTCTGTCTGTCAGTGTAACACAGCCTTTTTGCAAACTTTGCAGGACACAAGCATATTGACTATCGCAAGTACATGTATGATGCACATATATGTGACCAGCCTGAAATGTTTAGAAACTTGCGTCAGAAAGTCCTGACTGCTGAATCATCATCACACCAAAACCAAACAAAAACAGGGGCTCGGCGATGACGGCGTTAATGTCCAACCTTTGCTGAGTCAACACAGAAAGTTCAGCTAGGGGACAAGCTGCTACAGAGTACTTAGTGTGTTGACTAAATTCATGTCACGACCTACGGCCCTGCTAAGGCTGGGATCTGATAAACTTGTTTGAATTGCAGGGCTCAAAATACCACCTGCATATGCAGGTCTTTCTGATGTTTACATGTACTTGCACCTGCATGGGTCTACTTAATGTAGTGAGTACATATCTGATTGTGTGCATGTATGAGGTGTTTGTGAATTTTGTATGTAATGATTGTGAATAGTTAGTTACCAACAAAGAAATGTGAAATAAAGTATAAAAAAATGATTTCTACTAACTAACTATACATATATATATATATATAGTTTAATGTCAAGGTCAATCCAGGGCATAATATGTTCACTCCTGCACGTCCTGGCTCTTGGATCTGGAAAAGTCCCCCCAAATTTCCTGTCTACTCTGCAACTATAGTACGCTTGGGAGTCAGAACGTAAGCAAAATAAGGTTGACTCCAAGTTGAAGTCATACAATATTTCCTGGTAAAACAGGTTGGGACAGTTCATCCTCACTTTGGGACAATTGAAATGTATTTTTGTGACAGTGCTGGGACAATAGGAAGAAAACAAACTATGTAACAGGTCAGAGCGATCTGAACGCCATGTAACTGACCTGAGGGCATTATGCACTGGAAAGGTATATATTGTGAGAACTTCATACACTTGAACTCTGTACACTTGAAGAAGCCACACAGGCGTGTGGCAGGCTGAATAAAAGTTCTAAACAGGAACTACATGTATGCGGCTCTAGGTGTCTTACTGAGGGACGACTGCGTGTGCAAGATGTCGGTTAGCTTGAGGAATGAATCCCCTCTACTATATACTGGGACAATAGGAAGAAAAGCTAATTTAGAGGCCTGCTTGTATGTCTACCCCTGGCAGTTCTCCCGACTCACCGATCTCCTCTGGGATCTGCTGCAGGTTGTTCTCCCCCACTCCCAGGTACGTCAGGTTGGTCAGGTGACCGATCGCACGAGGCATGGTCGTCAGCTGGTTGGACTGGACCACCAGCCGGTTCAAGTCCCTCAAGTACGCTGTACAACAAAACACAACTCCGTCAACAATTTCATCAGGTGTACATAGATGTAAAAAAAAAATTGGAAACAGCTCTGTAGCTGCCGAAAATAGTTTCATCAGGTTGGTAGGAGTGTAGGATCTAGGAGTTTTCTTTTACACAAGCAAACTTCATAAGCAAGGTGCGAGAAGTTTGATTGTGCAAAAGAAAACTTCTAGATCCAGTTCTGTAGTTTGTGGACACACAAACAAAACTTCTTAAAATTTAGATATCTTTGAACAATATTCAAATGTCTAAAAGTATGATGACAACATCAGCCCTTCTCCAAATTATACCGGCTTGTATTTTTCAAGATGACAATCTTTAACAATGACTGCTTCAAGGCTACAATGTATTTCAACATTCATTACAAATCTCTGAGGCATGTGTTCTTGATTTCAGTCAAAACAATGTCAATCCTTGAGCACAAAGGTTATGATGTCATTTCTCCATCACAAAGGCCTTGTTCAACAATTTTGGTGGTTGATCTAAACTTTTTGTGTATACTGTTTGAAGACTACTATAATTGAAGGCTGTTGAATGATACGGTAACTATTGAAAGATTATCAATCATTGACACCTGAACTGGTGATTGGCTGTTTAAGGCCCGGAACTAAAAATTCGAAAAATAAAACCTGGTGTTTTCAATATCAGGACTGGTTGGTGAGTGAGAGTGTACACAATTTACTAGAAGTTTCTGAAAATATTGACGTCCAACCCATGGTACGGAATTGAATCTGCGATTATTGTTTGGCAGAACTCCCTCTAATGTACAAGGTATTTTCCAGACCTACATTTGGTGTCCATTAGTTTGCAATATGGAACGTTTGAGAAGTGCAATATATATAATATATAATTTGCATGATTGTCACACTATGACAAGAAAAAAGCACATCACTCTGTTGACATGTCTGTAGACTGAGAGAAATATAACATTGTGCACAAAACACACACACACACACACGCTTGACTGATTTACCAATTTGATGAAACTATTTATCTGTGAGCAAGACTGTGGAAAATTTACAGGAAGTTTCCTAGAGTTCTAACCTATCTCTGTTGGCAGGGACTCCAGCCTGTTCTCCTCCAGGTCCAGAACCCGCAACATCCTCAGGTTGCCGATGCCACGAGGCAGCTTCTGTTGGGTACAAAATGCACCACAAGTCAGCAACCATGTCAGTCTTTGACAAGACAGTCAAGAAAGAAAGGAAGAATTTCACCCGCATTATACATCATATATCAAGCGAGTATACTGGAATAAACATCCTTCAGTTCTTTTTACTTCTTCTCCATCATGATGATTTAGTACAACGGAAAAGATGTAAATTGTTTATATTTGTGCATTTTACATGACATTGTCAACTGTGTTCTGTAGTGAAAGACAAATTGTACAAGTGGTTACCACCTGTAGCTGTTTTGTGCTTTGTGTCAATCATAATGGTCAAAATATTAAACATTACATTTTGTATTTCTTTTCTTTTTTTGTTAACCAGAATAGCTACATGTAATAATAACCTAGTGCATACTGCATTTCAAAGATGGTGAAAAATTTCAAGCTAGTGTCCATGTAATAACATAACATGGACAAGATGGTATGGTTATTCCAAAGGAAAAGAAGATATAATTCCCTTTTGAAAATGATTGATGAACTTGCATAAGCCACACCTTGAGCAAGACCTTGGAAATATCTTCCGAGGACTTATATTGACATACCTGTATGATATACCTCCTAGTGCTTATCACTAGATGCATACGTACATGTATGAAAGTTATAACCCCATGCTGGCATTCTTTACCTCTTTACTAGAACAACGGCAAGCTGGCTTCCACCCCCCTCCCCCTTTGTATGACCTTGTTTTCTACAACTGTACATGAAAAAAATCTGACCCCTGATACTCTTACCCTATGCCTTACACTGTTATCTTCATTTTGGAAATGACAAAACTTCTGTAATAACCATGTTTTTTTTGGATCACATGGCAACTGCAAACTGACCTCTGCTCCTCATGACTTTTGCCTGACCCTTTAGAGAAAGGACTGGTCAATAACAAACTGACTTTTGTCCCCTTTCCCTGTAAATGACCTTGTTTTGTACTACGGGGCAATAGATCTAGAGAGTTGAGTGTTGCCCACCTCCCCAATGATTGACCTATCTACATGTAGCTTATACATGTCACTTATGCACATGGTATTGTATAACTGTTACTATACTCAAGTCTGTTTCCTGCCAATGGACTTGGATAACCCTATGGGTCAATGAATTTGTATCCCTACTAGAGCAATGACCATGATTGTACTTCCCCTCCCCCTTATAAATATCCAAACAGCTCTTAAATGACACCTCTTTCCATATCTTTAAGCGCCAATTTTTGCCTGTGAAAGCTGACAGGTTAGGCAAAATTTTTGGAGGATGTGTCACTGTGTCAAAATTCTGTCTTCCAAACGTCTGCCCTGCTTCTCTCTGAATGACTTTTTTCCGGACGAAAATAACACGTACCTTAGTACTACATAACATCGTACACTTTTGCCCCCCTACCCCCTGTCTGACATTGAGCAACCCCTTGGCAAAGCTAATACCTCAGCAAGTACACTTCTGCCCCCTCCTCCCTGTCTGACCTTGAGCAACCCCTTGGCAAAGCTAATACCTCAGCAAGTACACTTCTGCCCCCTCCTCCCTGTCTGACCTTGAGCAACCCTCTGGCAAAGGAAAAATCAGCAGGTACACTTCTGCCTCCCCTCCCCCTTGTCTGACCTTGAGCAACCCTCTGGCAAAGGTAATAGCTCAGCAAGTACACTTCTTCCCCCCTCCCCCCTGTCTGACCTTGAGCAGGTTGTTGGAGAGGATTAGTGTCTCCAGGTTGGTGAGATGTTGGATGTCTTCTGGCAGCTTCTGCAGCTGGTTGGTGCCCAGGTTCAGTTCCACCATGTTCTCCCATGTCCCCACATCTGCCGAGAGAGACGTTTTGTTTGTTTGTTTGTTCACATAAACAGCAAACTGCTTCAAGGTGTAACGCACCAGTTTTGTACAGTAAAGCCTAGGAAAAAAATGTTGTGTTTCCTGTTTCAGCCCAGAAAAAATTAGGGTCGGTAGGTAGGGATTATCTTTTTTATAAAGACTTTATCGATCTCTAGTTATCCAAATTACAAGTTACTATGACAGTTTAGCAAGTAAACCTTGCATGAGGACACTTGTATTTTCAATGTCAATGTTGCAGAACTGATTGTACAATGTTTCATCACTCAGGTGTCAGATCATGGAGCTAGAAAATGTTGATCAGCTCGAAAAATTTAATATCCCTTGCAGGGTCCACAAAAAAGTTTTTTCTAGGGTCGGTCAGGAAACAAGAAACACAACATTTTTCTTCCTAGGCATGAGACCAGACTGATAAGTTAATGTTAAATGTAATGATCACACCATCCTTCAAAACATTGAATTTCAAAGAAAAAAATTTAAAAAAACAAGAAAAACACAAGAAAGGTTGTGCCTTACCTAGAGGCAGGGAGGTGAGCTGGTTGTCCTTCATGTTGAGTTTGGTCAGGTACTTGGCACGAGAGAAGATGCCAAAAGGAATCTTGTTGATGTGGTTGTGCTCCATGTTGATCGACTGAAACAACATGCTATTATTAGATATCACGCATATGTAATGATTACACACTTCAAGGCTTTTCTTTTAGTCTGCTAAGTAAAAGAAAACAGCAGCAACAACCCCACAAAGTCTTCACTTTTGATCTATGTAATAACTGTGGCCAGGACTGCCATGCAAGAATAGGGCTGATAAGCCACACAGGACACTACTCCTGGCCAAAACACCAGAGCTTTCATCATCTCTCTAGATAAAAGGATGCCTACTGTCACAAAGTAGAAGTTCTCTGCAGAACATACATACACTGCGCCTGCACGAAACCCGTAATGTACATGTATTGTGTACAACACTGCAGCAGGACATAATGTTTAAGGTCATTTTCACATATTTAAGAATGACATCTACGGTTTTCAAATGTTAGTAGAAAGAGATATTGTATGCAACAGGCAAAATTCTGATGCAACATTGACCAAACATCCAACAGAAACCATGACAAATCTGGGTTTCGCACAGGTACAGTGCGTTCTGCTGACATACTGTACTGGACTCACATAGACAGTGGCGAACTGGGCAGGTCCTCCAATGGGATATGAGCTGAAGTTGCTCCTCGCAAGGGTCAGGCTGGACATGTTGACAAGGCTGGACAACAACCCCTCCTGTAAACAACAACAACAAAACAGTTGTCATAAACAACAGAAAGAAATGTATTATGTTCAATAAATTGCTCTTTGGCTACAGGTCAACTATATACATGTACAAAATGTATTTATTCTTAATTTTTAAAACAAACATTTCTAAGTACATGTCTAGTATACATGTATGTATGTACAATCCATATTTTATTCACAACAGTCTATGCCTTAAACATTTGCAATTTACATGTATAGGATGCCTGTCATGCTACATGTAATATACATGTATGCAGCTTGGACATATCTTAAATACTAGTACACAGATTATGCTGGCCACCTAGCAGAATCTGTCAACATTGCAATATATATTAGGTGATTGCATGTTTAATCTTACATGTGAATGGCAAATATTGCTGAATATCTTAATGCCATATCATGTATAACAGAGGGAACTTCTCAGGGAAGTCTTACAGGTAGTGATGACAGATTGTTTCCCTCTGCATTGAACTCCTCCATCTCTGTACAGTTGCTCAAGGACTTGGGTACTGAGGCCAGCCGGTTGTACCTAAAAAACAACAACACTCATATGTTGAAAGTAAAACACACACATCCGGACAAAAATGCATGTGCATACACACATAAACACACACACACACACACACACACACACACATACATGTACATGCACACGCGTGCATACACAGACGAACACACACAGACATTGAATTTGCCTTTTCTGTGTATTCCATAAATTATGGTCCAATTTTTCCCCTTTTCCACTTATACATTACATCTGCAGTTCACATACAACCCAAAAGGTGGCACTGCTAACTGGGGACACTGCACATGTTTGCCATCTAGCAGCAATTAGCAAAACTGCAGCCACAGTACCTGTAGCTCTATACCAACACTGTGACAATAAAACCATAGACTTCAATGTAGATAGTATATTGTACAAATCCACTGTGAGATCTATAACTCTATTAAATGCTAACTATAATTTGATCATGTTTTGATATGAATGATGTTCAACCCTTACCTTAGTCCTAGTCTACTGAGTAACTTGAGGTTGCCTATGGTCTCTGGTAAGTCCAGAAGCTCGTTGTGTTGGAGGTCTAACGATGACATCTGTACACAGTTCCCGATTTCTGCATTGAGAAGGGGAGAGGGAACAAGATGTCTATGTGTCAAAACTTGTTCTAGACAATTTTCACAGAGCGTACATAGCGCTGTAAATTTAGGCCTAGGAAAAAAATTTGTTGTGTTTCCTGTTTCCCCACTGACCCTAAAAAAACCTGCTGACTCTTGCCTTTTTTGGTGGACTCCTGCAAGGGACATACATTGTAAATGTTTCGAGCTGATTGACTTTTTCTACCTGCATGATCTGACACCTGAGTGATGAAAACGTTGCATAATTGGTTTCCCAACATTGACATTTAAAATATAAAAACGTCCTCATGCAAGCTTTAAATTGATAAACTGTATTGTAAGTTGGATCACTAGAAATAACCAAAGTCAAATAAAAAAAAAAAAGACAAAAAAATAGATAGTCCTTACCGACCAACCTAATTTCTTTAGAACTGAGACAGGAAATAAAACATTTTTAGGAAATAAAACATTTTTCCCTAGGCCTTAGACATCCAGGAAATGAGATACAAAAGGAAATTGTTACGTGTATAAGAAAAGAGTAACAATTTCCTTGTGTAATGATGTCACAGTTTCTGAAGATGTTTTTATTATTTGCTTTTACATCATTGATGGAAGCATGCAGTACCAAATTTTGTGTAATGGTACAACCGGACAAACAAAGAAGCACCAATGCAAGCTGAACTTGAAAATCAGTGCAATGTTTTCTGGACAAACAAACAAACAGCTGTACCAGCAGGCAGGTGTTCCAGGTGATTGTGCGAGACGTCCAGGTTGATCAGGTTGACCAGCTGGCCGATGCCCCCGGGAAGCTCTCGGATTTTGTTCTCTCTCAAGCTAAGCATGGTCAATTTCTGGTGAAAGAAACAGGAACACCACCAGTTGGCTACTAGTAATATAATTCAAGTGTCAATTTATAATTGATAATAGCCCCATGCTAGTTGGGCTGCCTTAGCTGTATCTTCAGCCTAAAGAATATTAAATAATATATTAATTTCAATATTACATGTATATATATGGGATTGGCAACCTAGTAGTAGTGGTTTGACAGTGTCAGGCTCAGGATCTAAATGTCCTAGGTTTGAATCCTAACTAGATCTGAAGTTGTGACCTTGGAAAAGAGAAGTTACAAACAAATTGTCACTTAACCATAACAAGAAATCAAGTCTGAAAAGTGCCAAAGTTCCATGTTTTCCTACCGTTAATCTTTGCAGGTCATCCCCGACAACTGAGATCCTATTAAACCTTAGGAAAAGGGTCTGTAGTGACGTCAGCCTGTATACCACATCTGGGATCTGAGAAAGAAAAAAAAGGGTGCTCATGTAACTTTACATAATACCTTATTTGTCCTAACTAAAAAGCTTTTTTTTCAGAAGTGCTTGAAGTACAGTATTAGAAATAGTGTGGTATGTTAGTATAGAGCATAGGGTATTCGAATTTGCTTTTACACAACCAGTAGTGTTTTTAAACCTAATTTCCAAGCAGATCATACGATGGCAAAGCAGTATCCAATGGCCAAAGGAGTGTCTATCGGATACTGCTTGGCCAATTTGATACAGCAATGGTCTTTTGCGACCACTGAAAGATCTGCTTAGAGAAATCCAGTCAGAACTCTGAGGAAAGTGTCTGATAGACATCGAAACATAAGCAAGGTAAGAGAACTACTGGTTGTGTAAAATAAAATTCAAATATCCCGTGAACTGCAAATGTAGCTTTCACTTACATGTAGTCTCAAGTACCAAATACTAACATAAGATTTTCATGTGATGAATATACAAAAGCAAGTCTCAATGTTACTCACCTCTTTCAACTTGTTATGTCTGAGGTCTAGCACCTTCAGCTTCTTCAAGTTTACTAGTTGGTCAGGAAGGGTTGTGAGCGAGTTTTCGCTCAAGGCGAGGGTCTGTAAGTTGACTAGGTGTCCGATCTCTGGCGGTAGACTTTGTAACCGGTTCCCGTACAGGTAGAATTCTACTAACTGGGTGAGCTCCTTCACGGAAGGTGGAAGTACTGATATCTGTGAGCAGAATCAAAATTTGTTTATTTGTTTGCACAGAAAATAAACAGAAAGTAAGGCCTAGGAAAAAAATTGTGTTTCCTGTTTCCTGATCAACCCTAGAAAAAAATCCTGACCCTAGCCTTTTTTAGGTGGATCCCTGTAGGGTAGTCATAAATTTTTCAAGCTGATCTCCCTTTTGTACCCTAGCTCCATGATCTAATGTGTACAATCAGTTTTCCAACATTGACATTGGGAATTAAAAGAGTCCTCATGCAAATTTTAATTTGTTAAACTTAGGAATCAAAGATACACAAGGAAATAATTCTTCAAGCAAACAGATAGATTTTGGAAACTGCCAAATGTTTCAAGTAGCGTTCGCTACTTTTTGTCAGTGGCTGCTGCTTGGAATGTCTGACAATTTGCTTGAGTAACAATTTCATTGTGTATAACTAATAAGAGGGAAGGGTTCAAATGTTTCAACTTACAACTTTCTTGCTAAGATCTAATCTGGTGGCACCTTCTTCTCTACAGCGATTGAATTCTTTGGTCACATCCTGTGGAAATGAAAAACACAAGAAAACAGATTCAGTATTACACATACATGTACATGTAGGCATGCCTTCAAGTACCACAGTTGAAAGGATTGGTGTGTTCAAAAACTTATTTTTTCCTAGAACTACTGCAGAGTGGAACTCACTGTCACCAAGTACAGTAGGGGCATAGCTTTAAACAGTGTTTAGAGTTAGATGTTCAAAGGTTAGGTGTAACAAGTTGTTTGGTGTGATGTAGCCAGCTGCTGCCACATCGTGTGCCTGCAAAGACAAGTTAGGATCAGCTAATAAGTAATAATTTCCTAAAACATTTGTAAGTCATGTAGGTGTTTCTGGATTTTCATTTCTTGGATTGAAGTTGTTA